AAAGAGACTCAGACAGCGAGGGCGAGGCTCCAGCGGTACATCCATTACTGGACGCGTTTCCATAATCATCAGCAAAGTCTCAACTGCGAGAAGAAGCAGCACTCGGAGGTTAGGCTCAAAATGGATGAGTTGCAGCTGAGGAACATGACGTGGATTGAGGTGCAGTTCCTGAACGAGGCCTTCATAGCGTTGTGCAACTGTAGGCAAACCCTGATGTATACCTATCCGTTCGCCTATTACCTCCAGAAGAGCAACCAGTCCTATATATTCGAAGACAATCAGTCGAATCTCGAGGTAACGGTCGAGAAGTTGTCGGAACTCATGGAAAAGGATCTGACGGAAGTCGAGGACATCAAAGCCATGAAGACTGATGTCATCAATATTTCGAGATATTGTGAGGACAGGAGGAAAGTGTTGTGCGATCACGTGAGGGAGGGCTATGAGACCGACATATGGCTGTTCGATCACTTGGACTGAATGCACTCCAAGTCAACACACGTGCGAACAAACCTTCAAGAAATCTTCTCATCGATTATATGAATATATTTCAATATTTCAACGATAATACGATTATTGCATTATAATTGCAGTTCTATAGGTATATACTGCATGTTATTTATTTGTACGATTTAACGATATAATAATAAATTTAAATTATTTGTATTGAAATTAGTATCAATAAAAAGTCTTATTGATCATATAAACTGAATATCTATTATGATATGCTACGGTAATACATTACCGGTTATTGTCTTATACGGTACCATTACTACTGTACAGTATATAATGAATCGTTATTAATGATTGTCGACTGTATTTGATATGATTGATGCAATTGATGTTTACATAGAAAATGGTGAAATAAAGGCACTACCGTACTGACCACAACTCAATTATCATTGACCGTACTATTGGTTTATTGAGGACAATGTTAACTGAATACAGTACCGCTCTAGTCTAGCAACTAGACTATAGACTATATACAGCACTCAATGTTCAATAGGAAACACAATGTTTTGCTTCAATTTAATACAAATATTTATTCAATAAAATTAATTCTCTTTTGCAAACAATTAACAAATCAATTAATTATACATTTTATGGAAACACTTATCATGAGTTGAGATATGATATCATAAGTAGTATTAATACAGAAACCAAATGTATGGATGAAATGAAATCAAATGGCAAATCATAACATGTCATCCAATGGTGACTATTCTGTGGCCACGAGTGAGCTCTCGATGACCGACAGTTCCGAGGACTCGATTTTCTTCATGTCTTCATTGAAACTATTGATCCATTGCTTGAGTTCAGGCTTTAAGTGAAAGAGAAGTCAATGATTACAACAAATGCATTCATAACTGGTCTGTGGTTTACATTCTTATGGATGGCTTTATCCCACAGATTGGTGTCCTCTTTGCGTGACTTCTGGCGAGTCGTTCGAGTCCTCCTCAGAGAGCGAGTCTTCGAGGCCTTGGGAGTGGACCTCATAGTGGGCGAGAAGTGGCACCACTTCTTCACCGAACTGTACTTCCGACTGCTTCTGCTTCTGTCGAAACTCACGTCTTCATCGAAATCATAGATACTTTCGTAACTCATGTCTTCAGCCATCGTCTGAGGAATGGCACGAATGGGCGATACGTTCAGTCCGTCTGCCACTCTCTCGATGCGAGTCTTGCGCACCGGACTCTTCACTACCATCTCATCCATACTACCGGTGCTGTCCTTGTCGTCCATGGAGTCCAACCAATCGGTCGATGTATTGGCGTGATGCTCAAACATCTGATCCATTGTATGACACAAACCACAAGACATACACTGAGTCATGAAATGTCTTTCAAATGCTATGCAATGCGTTGAATGGCGCCAAACATACAGCCAATCAATGCACACATCTCTCACACATTCACTTTTGTTCACACAATGCATACGCTTTCACGCTATACGTCAACAACGGTTACCAATCATTTGTATTCAACACAAACACTACGTATTGCTGTAAAAGTACTGCACTTTCCATTCAAATGACGCATTTGTTTGGCAAAGCGTTATCTAATGCATCCGTTAATGATGTGACACCTGATGGGAGGGGAGGAATGGATTGGCGGTGAATGTGTGTCATTGGGGGTGACATTGGGGGTGACATACGGCACATACTATCATAAGTATAGGCCATTGTCCGCCTCATTGTCATTGTGTCCCAAATGTGGTCCACTTTGACCGCAACCAGTGTTTGCAATCATATTATGAATGAATGCAAAGTTTGCTATAAATGTCATCATTTGGCTGCAAATACCTTCATATCCTTCACATAAAACCAATGCAATCGAGAGTTAAACTAAACAAATGACTAATGATTGACATTAAGATATGGGATGTGTTTTGGTGATAGTGCGGTGGCGGTGGACAGGGATGCAGGGGTGGGGAGGGGAGGGTGCAGTGCACGTAACAGTGTATGTTCAGGGCTGAGTAGTGTTGTGTGAGGGGTGTTGTAGTGTTGTTTACATGCAATCATCTGATGTGTAGACTGCTGTGCAGTGACAGCCTATGGGAGCAATGGATAGTTGCAGTGAATCAGTGTTTCACTGAATAGTGAATACAGTACTCAATGACAACAACAATAAAGAGATTGAGTGCAGTGTTGTGTATGCCTTACAGTCCGTACAGTAATATAGCCTTGAATTGTATGAATCGCACAATAATTCAGTGATTAATCCATTGAATGATTTACTCATTTCAGTATTGGTTAAGAGTATTGACTCTCATTGTGACACTCAGAGCATCACTCATCCAACCATTCATTTGTTTATAGTTTGCTGTTTTGGTCGCATTTCATAGCTATAGTACTCAACCAATGAATCACTAATTACTGTGTTTGGTGTCAATCCATGCAAACAAACACTGACTCCAAGTCTAAGACCAGCCACAAGAACAAGAACAGTGACAATAAGGCCAACAAACGGCGAGACCATAACAAGCCTCTCAAGCCATCACTCAGTGTCCGTCCGACACAACACCCGTGTGGGGAACGGCTCGCCTGCAAGGGTTGGCCCACTTTCCGCCCTTCCTTTCAATTGTCGTTTGAATCCATTTTTGTATCCATACTTATGTCCTCCTCTTAGGTCCCGATCCTGAGGCCCACTATATATGTCGTGATTGTAAGACATATCAGTGCCGTCTCTGCGAAGAGCTGTTACACGAAAGTCGCGGATTAGAGA